TCTACATTTGGGAAAATCCAGGTCCAGACCACCCATCAGCAATGAAACATACTGCATGATCTTAGGTTAGCTGCTCCCTATCTCTCTCAGCTTTTCCTACCTCAATTCTGTCTTTAGAGTACAGGATGTGAAATTCAAATCCTCACACAGCCCTGAAGACCACTGGGTGGCCCATGATTCTAAATAATTTTCCTCACAAGGGTGTTATCAGGAAAAAGTGAGCCACATGGATTGGCTTTCACTCACTGCACTAACTAAAAATTAAAAACATTACTAAAGAAGCGGTGCTTAAAAACAAAAAGAATGTTCGGAGGAATAAAGCATTGAAGGCCCGAGCTTCAGTTCAGAGAATTTCAAGTGCAGGGTTTGGCAACTTCCAGAGGTCCTAACTATTTATTTATTTTTTGTTAATTATAACAAAGAAGCCCCCAGTACCCTCTTGTGGCCAGCATTTCAAAAAGGTTTTTTAAATGTTGAGGTGTTTGTCCCCCTAGGGGACACAAGTGGACTTTTAATCCCAATTTAATTTTGTTTGTGTGGTGGGGTGGACTCCCGAGAGGCCCCATACAATATTTATTTATTTATTTAAATATTCACACCTTTTTCCTTAAAAGGTAGCTTACAAAATTAAAAGGACAAGATGCAAAAGCTAAAAAACAGTACAAATAATTTTTAAAAAAAGAATTAAACAAGTATCACATTAAAATGGTAAATAAAATCAAGACTAAAACATATTTTAAAAAACAACAGAGCACAATAATTCAGTTTCAAAGACCCCTCTCAGACTGCCGGTCACAAAGGAAAAGCCTGTTTGAAGAGAAAGGTCATTGCCTGCTTATGGAAGGACGGTAAAGATGGGGCCAGCCTGGCCTCCAGTGGGAGGGAGTTCCAGAGTCTCAGAGTGCCATCAGAGAAAGCCGTCTCCTATGTCCTCATGAGAACTCTTGTGAAAGTGGTGGGACTGAAAGGTCTCCCCGATTATCTTAACGCACAGGCAGGCTCATAGAAAATTAAGATGTTCTGTGGGACCCCTTATATTACACTGGGTGCAGACCATGGGCCATACGCTGCCCACCCCTACTCTAATGAAAAGGAGTTCACATAGAAGAGTTGAGAAGGATCTCTGATGAAGAACCAGGTGTAAACAGGCAGCAATCAGCTAGCTGGACCAGTATTCAGACAATAGAAGACACTTTCAAATGCCCCCAGCTCCCAACATCTGCACGCAGTAGCAGCGATTTATGATGGGGTGAGTAGATTTCAAAATGGTAAGATTTTTTTTTAAATTTTTTGAACAGAATCCTGATATCCATTGGCCAGAACCTGCTGCAAAAAAACCAAAGAAAAACACTCAAAGGATGTGGATCCTACCAATGTGTTCAGTGTAACAGAAGTGAATGGATATCACAGTTGTTCTACTCACACAAACACAAACCAGTCCTGGTTACCCAGGCTACT